TATGATACTTATAAGTCTATAAGATAACTACTTACTGAGCTGCCCGACCCTCAAATTAGGGGATCTACTTCATAGATCCTCCCGGGGGTTCTGGGCTTGCAACGGCCTAGAGTCGAGGATTTCGGGTAAATCCATCCTTCCCCGGCCTTAACCCTAAACCCTACTTAGAGGCTCATGGGACTTAGTGCCTAGGGTTACAAATAAAGGTAACCATACTTAGAATTATCTGTAATCCCAAGTAGGGCACTTATAACTGTACTTACTAAGCCCCATGAACCTCCAAGTAGACCCTAAACCCTACACTCTACAGATCCCCTTAAGGAACCCTATAGATCCCTTAAAGGAGCCTTTTAAGGAGCTCTGTACTAAGTCACATGAACCTCCCAAGTGAAGTTTCGGGGTTCCAGGGTTCCTTCCAAAACTTCTACCCTAAGGCTCGAAATAGCCCAAACGGTTTAAGGTTTAGGGTTTAGGGTTTAGGGTTTAGGGTTTAGGGTTTAGGGAAAAGCCTTATATAGTACCTCACTGGCCCAAAACCCAAGGAAATGAAAGTTGAAACTTTCAGAAACGACTACCTTATCAGAACCTCGAAAGTTGAAAAGTTCAGTTTACAGCCAATAAGGTATGGTCTTTGGGCCCAAAAGCCTTAAAACATGAGTCCTTAGAGCCTAAGGGCTACTTGGAGGGTCAGGGGACTTAGTAAGTAGGTAGTAAGTAGAGTTATAAGTGCCCTAAATGGGTTCTTAATTGGGGTTAGGGTACTTCTAAGTCTACAAACTAACTACTTGCTAATTCCCCCGACCCTCCAAGTTGTACTGTTTGGCCCTAAACCCTAAACCCCTAAACCCTAAACCCCTAAACCCTAACCCGTGAACCCTAAACTCTAAACCCCAAACTTTAAACCCTAAACCTCCAAGTAAACCCTAAACCCTAAACCCCATAGATCCCTTTAAGGAACCCTATAGATCCCTTTAAGGCACCCCATAGATCCCTTTAAGGAGCCCTTTAAGGAGCCCTGAACCCTAAACCCAGTCCCGTCTCGGGACTGTAGGGCTGCCAGGCTTTGGGGATACGGCTCAGGGCTTTGGGGGCTTAGGGTTTAGGGTTTAGGGTTTAGGGTTTAGGGTTTAGGGTTTAGGGTTTAGGGGCTGCTTTAGGGCTTCATGCTTTCGGGCTTTCTGGCTTTATGATTTAAAGGGAACTATAGGGTTCGGGTTCCTTAAAAGGATCTATAGGGTTCCTTAAAGGGATCTATAGGGTTCCTTAAAGGGATCTTTAGGGTTTAGGGTTTAAAGGGAACTCCAGAAAGTTGGAATATGGTTTCATGTTAGGATACCCTATAATTTACCATAGAAGGGTTAGGAGAATCATATTCCAACTTTCTGGCTTCTACCTTATGGGGCTCAGGATGTGGGGACTCGGGGCTTCAGGGTTTAGGGCAGCAAGAAAAGGATTTGTTGAGCTGAGACTCTCAACACGATGGCCACCCGCACATAATCCGAACCGTGGGTTTAAGCTGTAGGGCTAAGGGCTTGCGCATGTGTGATACCGTTTTATAAACTTGTTGCTGAAGACTCCCTCAAAGCAAAGGGCATCTTCGTTGAATGCTTAACCTATACTGAACTTAGACCCAAGCAAAAATTATGAGTTTAGCTGTTTCTTAGGGTTATAATAACCAAAAATTGAAAATTATTTCTAACTACCCCTAAGTAACGCTTAAACCCAAATCGGAAAAATGCTCAAACCCAGATGCTGCACCCTCAACGCCCGGGGCTTGAGAAATTGGAAAAGGTGAGACTCTTCCAAACGGTCCCAAAAGTCCCAATAAGTACCTAACAATCATATACACTTCCAGTTACCATCCTACACAACAGAAACTACGCATTATCCTAACTCTCAACCCCAAACACTAAACCCGAAACCCTAAACCGAAAACTCTTAAACCCTATAAACCCTGAGCCCTAAGCCCACAAGCCTAAACCATTGAGGCCGACATAGTTCACTTTTTGCTGAGTGGGGGCAGTAAGGCGAGGGCGTCACCACGGAATCCTTTGTTGGAGAACCCCTGTATAATGTAGGGTTTTGTGTATATTATAATGGAAGTACAAGGAATCAACCGAACAGTATTCTCAGGGATAATGCTTAGTAGTAGCTATTCAGGCCCATGTGCCAAACCATCGTAAGGATGCAATAATAGTAACCTGTATAGAAGCCCTTTAAGAAACCTGTCTCTTTCAATTTTTCAGATTCCTTACACCTTTCTACCCTCAACCCGGACGCCCTAAACCACGTTACTATACAAAAGGCACCTGATGTGCTCCTGGTAGTATATCACTTATACTATGCCCTAACCTCGAAGCTGCCCTTTGCTGAAAGGAACCCTGAAAAGCAGCCGTAAATGTAATCCTGAAATGAACCCGCGAGTCCCCAACATTCCAAAATCCTTCCAAGTAAGAAATATGACTGAAGGGCTGTTCCTTCATTCGGGGATTCTGGAAGGGTGGGACTTAGAAACTAACTAGGGCTGTAAATCAAGTAGCTGTACTTACAAACAAATGCAGCATCAGCTCAAGTACTTATAACTGCACTCTCTACTCAGGGGCTGAGTACCCTGGCCCTAAGATGGTTAACCTTCGGAGTTATGGTAGGAGTATAAAAACCCACAAAGATACGATTACCTACTCAGCTACTAAGACTAAGCCCCCATAAATTAAGGCCTTAAAATTTGTTAGAATAGGGACCCTAAACCCTAAACCCCACCCCTGAAGGCACCCTTTAAAGTACCCTTCGAAGGTACCCTTAAAGTACCCCTATGATACTCTTCAAGGCACCCTTTAAACTATCCTTACAGTACTCTTAAGGGTACCCTAAGCCCTCTAAAGTCTCTTGAAGGTACCTGGGTCCCTATAGGGATCCCAAGGCCTGATACATCTGCGCCAGCGTCTGCCGGTGCCGCGCCGAAGCGTCGGCTCCGATGAACTTTGACATTGAGCCTCGGGACCCAAAGGCTCCATGTACCCTTACTTATACCTTAAAGGGGTCCCTATACAGGTACTTTAAGGCCTAAGTATATACTATATGGGTACATGGAGCCTTAGGGGGAGAAGCGAGGCAGAGGCTTTCTTTCAGGAGTCCTGTAGCTGGTTGCTATAATCAAAGGGGAAAAGGAGGGACCCTTATATAGGGTTCCTTAAAGGGATCTATAAGGGTGATAAAAGGGTTTAGGGTCTAGGGTGTATCAAACGGGAAAAGGAGGGATCCTTAAGGGGGACCCTACCCTATAATGGCTATATAATGGGTATATAATGGTTATATTTAGGGTATATACCTAGGGGTCCTGATTAAGAGTCCCTCCTTTTACCCTTGGATTTCAGGCTTTCAGGGTTTATAGGGTGTAGGGTTTAAGGGTGCATATAGGGGGTTTAGGGCTCAGAGTTCAGGGTTAGTTGTAAAGAAGCTCCTTTCAAAGGGTTCGTTTCAAGGGGGTTCCTTTCAAGGGTTCCGCTGACTGCTGACCAGAACCTACAGTACCACCGCTAGACTTATGACTTTGGATCCTGCGTGGTGAGCCTTGATCTCAAATAATTATCTCTACAATTAATTTATGATGCATTTATGGTTCGTGGATTTCTTGATTTATGGGTACTTTATGGTTTTTTACACTTCAGATTATCTCATTTGCGTGACTAGACACGTGGGCCCACATCCAGTTCATATCATCTAGCTACAAGTGCGCTCGTGCAAAAGCACCCGCGCGCAGCGGCAACCTGCCCCACGCCGGCGTGAATCGCGCCTAGGCAGGCTAGCATGTACAAAGTGCGCAAGGGCACTGGAAAACAAAATGCGTTTCCACATGCAACACAGGAGCGTAGCCACTTCGGCCCAAGTGGGGTGGAACCCCATATCCCAAAGGCTCCGTGTGTGCACAGAGAGCCAACATAAGCCAGTTTTGTCCCAGAGCCCACATTCATTCCAGAGCCCACTCGGGTTTTCCATAGAAATAAGCACACGCGAATATGATGTTAACAATAGCCCAGCCTTTGGGTTTGTATCGCGGATCGTTGCACACTAAATCACGACTTGATGCTTTGCATTTGCAGTGTTATGAATGCATTTTGGCGCAAACGCAGCACAACGAGATCGCAGGTATGTACGTCTATTATAACCACGCCGTACAGTGGTAGCATGGTACGTGTACTCGTATGCGTATGTGTGTAATATGCCTGGGCTATGACCGGATCACTCGCTATAGTTATATATTATTATATGTTGTAACTGTATACAGGGGTGCTACATATAATAATATAACTACCTATGACCCAGATTTGTTTGAAGCCTTTAAACTCGGCCGAACCCGCAGGCATTTTGCCTTCGAAGTGCCACGTGTACGGACACGGCCTGTGAACCTGGGTTGCTATGTGGTGCTCCCCTGGGTTTTAAAAATATGTTCCCCCTGATCTGTATATATATATATATATCTCTCTCTATCCATCTATCTCTCTTTCCCTCTCGGTATGGCTATAGCTATCGCGATAAATTTATCTCAATAGATATATAGCTGGCCTAGAGACCATGTCGGGTCGATTGGCGATGCTGAAGGGAGCAGCTGAGCGAAAGAGGACTCGTGAAGTGGAGCAAGGTGCACCCTCCCGCCCTGCTTTTGCAAGCTGTGCGATTTCGTGTGCTGTGCACTCGATCATGATCGATGGGTCCATCAGTGATCGCAGAAACTGCCGTGCTGCAGTTTTTGCTCGGGCCATGCGCATGTGCATTGCATGCTGTAGGGGCTCACGTCCATGCTATGTGCAGCTCGAGGTCAGTTCAGCTCTATAGCTATATATAGCTCTATCGCTATGCTGCAGAGACAGCTTGAGTTCGAGGCTTTACTTATCTCCATGTAGCTCTATATAGCTGCAGGGCTTGTATTCAGCTCGCACGGGCTCGGGGACGTTTTGTGCAGTTGCAACAGTTTTTTTCGAAATCGTGTGCCTGTGAGTGCCATGTCGAACTCGAAACAGCGATCCATGGATGCGCCTGCGAAGATGAAAGTGATGGATACGGCTACAGGCGAGAAGCAAGTGCTGCGTCCGTTGCGATTCAGAGTCGACGACTCTCGACAGCTATTATCACGGCGTGCACATATACAGTGCATACATGTGTACATGCACACACACACACACATATACATATATATGTACAAGGCTGACAGCCTCAAGATCGCCAATGCTATCCGCCCGGCTATTGAAAACCGGCTGGACGAGCTGCGGGATGACAAGGCCCGCAGCTGGCATCGAAACTTTAGATTTAGACACGAAAGCCAAACAACCTGCTAATGCAGATTGAAAATCATTTGAGGACCGGTGCATATGCTCCGTCGATGGCACAAAGGCGAATGGAGACGATGTGAGTCGACGACCCGACTACAACTACGAACTCCTCAAAGTCTACGTGGTGAACCTGACAAGCGGGGTCTTCAATGCAAAGCAGCTGTTGCCCTGCTTGGCTCACAGAGTCCACATCCCAGATACCGAGCGATGACATGGTTGTAGCAGCTTATATAATATGTAGGCCGGGTGAGCCTAGCCATAAACACATTGCATGTCGAGGTCGCGGTTCTTTATCTGAGCTGTGTCTACGGGTTTTGGACGGGCCAAGAGCTCAAACAGCGTGGACGGAAGGGCGAAATCAAGGCTGGTCGAGCTACAGATCAGAAGATTTGCATCGCAAAGATCATGTCATACCTGTATCTAGAACCCGGCAGGAATGGGCGGTTGTGCAGGGCTCGAATGTGCGAAAACTGGCTGCATATGTGATGACGGCCCTGCAGCGTACTCCTTATGCAAGGAGCTCCGAGTTCCATATACACATGTTGGGTGCATGTTGGGTGTTAAGGTATTCGCCGTTTGAGTGTGCACAGGACAGAAGAAATGATGGTTCTCAAGACCCTGCACCAGAGGATCAACCGCACGGTAGTGCCGGAGCGACCCAACCGCAGGAGCACCAGGGCTGCGATCGAGGATGAGGGTCAAGAGTCGCAGTCGTCGTCTACGACGTCGTGCTCTGCCGGATCGACGATCGACCTGCTCGACTCGGACGACGATGGCGAATGCGCCGTGGACGACGATCGCGAGATGGCTCCGGACGACGACCACGAAGTGGCTTCGAGAGACGATCGCGAGATGGCCGGCTACAATCGCGAGGTGGCCTTTCGAAATTATCACATATGCATGCACGAAAACATGTACATACCATGCCTATTGACAGAATCTCCCTATAAAACACTTTAACATGTCTCTACGAAGGAACCAAATTATAACCATCCACTCCAGGAAATGGACCAGATGGAGCTGGAAAGGCTACTGAAGGAGCTGGACGACCCGAACTCGCTGGAGGCCCACTGGTCATGGTATAGTTAGACAATGTTAGACATTCTACATATAATAGGTAGCCCACAGTGGTTATAATTCGAATAGCCCAGATACCCTATTCAAAGACGGGATCGTGGCTAGATATGGGTGCCCATACCTCCTTGCGCTATTTTGGTATGACCCTTTTAACATTCGAATCGGCAGTAGCGACCATTGTCTAATAAAGGTTTTCGGATATATATATATATATATATATATATATATATAGCTGGGGGTACGATCAGGAATAAAGTGAGGCTTGTCAACTTTCGCTCGACTTTTCATATCATGCTATATATATATATATATATATATATACTGCATCCATTAATAAGCTTATTCTAAATACAAATTTCGGTTGTAAGTGGGACACTAAGCAGCTATTCTCTATCATAGCCCGACGACTACCTGCATTTTAATTCTAGACGTGTACTTCTATTGTAAAATCCGCTTAGTATCATATATAGTAGTGCTCGATTATATGCCCGTTATAATAGTACTCTATACGGTACATCGCGACCCCTATCAAGGCGATTTCAAATATGAATATAAAATACCTGTGTAATATCGTTGTGGTATGTAGCTAGCCCCATACCTCGAACCCTCGCGAAGGCTGCCACTATCTGCTCCGATGACTCCATGGAGATCGAGGTGCCGATGCTCAGGGGTTTTGTTGGCAGTTCGATCGCGAATCCCTGAGCATGCACATGCGATGAATGTCGGAGTGTGCTAGCTAGATATACATATATACATATAAACACATACATATGTCATGTAGTGGTTCTATAATATTATGCAGACAAATACAGACTTGTTCTTCCGTGCTTTTAAAGCCATGTATTATATTCAGTCAAACCGGCATGCTGCAGGCTGGCGGCGATCATGGTGAAGCGGCTCCACTGGTGCGAGTCTCATGCCCGATCTTTGGTATGTACGATATAAATAATTAGGGTCAGGTTCACCGGGAGCCCATATCGATCTGTAATAATAAATGCAGATATGTGTGTTTGCAGGATGTTTTTACAATTCTACAGGTCGGACAGAATATTATTGTGGCTTCACCCTTGATTTTGTCGAGATAGTCTGCACAAGAAACCCAAAGGCTCCATGTGCCCATATAGTACTTAGCCCTTAAAGTACCTATATAGGGACCCCTTTAAGGCCTAAGTACCTACTATATGGGCACATGGAGCCTTTGGGTACACCCCTCAACCCTAAACCCCTGGACCCCTACACTCCTCAACCCCACATCCTATTTTGGATTCTCTTCGGGGTTCTTATTGTGGGCAGATTTGGAGCTCTCGAGGTTTCTGTGGTGTTCCCAAAGATTTCCAAGTCCCTTTTTTGGGTCCCCAATATAGGGTCAGGATTTGTCTAACTAATTTGTCTAGATCTTTAAAAAAACACAAAATATGTGAGCCCACATCATCTGCACCGATGACAATCACTTGTAGCTGCTTCATAATTTGTGTCGTGGCCCCATTTAATTATAAAGGCCCGAACTGGGTTGACATGCAGGGGCAAAGAAGCATCAGCTGTGCGATTGTTATAACTTTAGCGGGAAGCCGGAGCTAGCACCTAATAACAGCCCATGATGTACCAATGATGTTGCTGTTGCAAAATCATCCGGCATGCACTGTAGATGTCATCATTCTAGATCTTCTGTTCTTAATAGTACATGCACATCTTCCCCTAGATATTCGTATATCCGTTTTATTGTTGGCCCGAACGATCCCAGATATAGATCCTCGAGCTTTAGTTGTAGCTAGTTTCCTTAAGCTTATGGCCAACACGCGAGGCGGCAGCGGTGAGTGGGCACGATGAAGCAGCCGGGCATCCAGAGCAGGCCCGCTTTGATGTTAATGTAGAGGATGGTCAGCATGCCACATTAGGCAGGTTTGGCATTTAGACAGGTGTGACAGCCAGCCCCAGCTTTAGTTGCAGCCCGAGTCCTTAAGCTTAATGCCAACACACAAGGCGGCAGTGGTGAGTGAGCACGATGAGCCAGCCGGGTATCCAGAGCAGGCCCGCAGATGCATCGATGTTTAGTAAGAGGGTCGTGATTTGTTTAGGCAGGCTTTGCCTTGGACAGATGTGACAGCCATCCCCAGCTTTAGTTGTAGCTCGATTCATTAAGCTTATTGCCAACACACAAGGCGGCAGCGGGGAGTGAGCACGATGAGCCAGCCCGGGATCCAGAGCAGGCCCGCAGATGCATCGATGTTTAGTAAGAGGGTCGTGATTTGTTTAGGCAGGCTTTGCCTTGGACAGATGTGACAGCCATCCCCAGCTTTAGTTGTAGCTCGATTCATTAAGCTTATTGCCAACACACAAGGCGGCAGCGGGGAGTGAGCACGATGAGCCAGCCCGGGATCCAGAGCAGGCCCGCAGATGCATCGATGTTTAGTAAGGGGATCGTGATTTGTTTAAGCACCATATGGTATGCAATTGAGGAGTACTCGCGAGGACCTACGACTATGGGCAAAGATTTCGATATGACCCAGAGCGAGCCCACCATTAAGATGTAATCCCTTATAGTCTCCGATCCCTTGCAACATGAAGGCTGTGGTGGCGAATGGGCACGATGAGCCAGCCGCGAATCCAGAGCAGGCCTACAGCTTACTTTAAATTTCAATGGATTAGGAATATAAGCTCATCACTCATATTTGTATTTCGTTTAAAATTGTACATACAATAGAAAATATAAGTATGTATTTACTAACAGCATCTCTAGTCATAAAAATGCCTAGTCATGTTAGCCAGCTAGAGAATCGAATATAAATATATAAATGTACATGACAGCCGTCCAATTTCGTATAGCATGCACGCATCCATACTGGTGCGAGCTCTTGACCTTAGTTTTCGACTGACATCCCAGATGTTTTCCAGGGCTTGCCATGGTCACATTATTAGATTATACCACAGATGCCTTGAGCCTGATGGCATGCTCGTTGTATGTTGATGCCGAATAACCTGACTGGGCATTGAACCTTGCAAATGATATAATTAATGTGTCCAATCCAAACATGTGCAAGGCAGCAGTGGCACATTGCGAGCACGAAGAGCCAGCCACGAATCCCGAGCAGGCCTACGGATGCTTTTGAATTCGGATGGGTGATTGGTGGTGGGGGTGTTCGAAGGAGGAGTCGCAGCATGAAGTCGTGCGCCATACACGTGGTGTTCGAAGCGGTGAGTTATTTAATTATTTCGAAATATACATAATAGCCATATATATTTTACATAACCCATCTATCTATCTATGTATCTATCTATCTATCTATATGTGTATATATAAACATATATATATATAGCGACCATCTCAATAATGAGAAGACTTTAAAGATATAGCTGTATATGTATTGGAATATTCGCATATAAAATGTACGTATACACGATGGCATTGCAAAAGTATTTTATGTTCTCAGACTCCCAGCAGTTGCACACATGTTCGCACATATATACATCTCTACCAGCCAGGTGGGAGCAACCGTCATGATCAGTGGAACTGGTGATGAGGGAGCTGAAAACGAGGAGGCTCGCTGCTCACACGCATGCTCTGGTTTTCAATATAGGGGATCCGCTCGTCGTATCAT